AAAACCTTCTGGCTGATCCATATAAATTTCCTCATGCGAGTCATCATGAAGAAATGCAATTTTTACATCTAACTGCTCAAGCTCAAGATTCATGCTTGCTGCTAAACCGAGCACAACTTGAATTGAGCTCATCTTCCCCACTGGGGAAAATATTTCATCAAAATCAATCCCCTTTTTCTGACTGAAGCCTTTTACCACCAGCCGAGCCTTATATCTAACTATCTTGTCACCATATTTCTTGAGCTTGAACACCCATTTGTTCTTCAGGGCTTTTCTTCCTTTGGGAAGTTCCACAAGCTCATAAGTATTGTTTTTATGTAGGGAGTTCATTTCTTCCTGCATAGCCTTCATCCAACAGTTTTTATCTTTGTGAGACTGCACCTCTCGGAAGTTCTCCGGCTCCCCTTCTTTAGTGATCAAGATATAATCAGAATTGGAGTATCTTGCAGATGGTTTGTGCTCTCTAGTGGACCTTCTCAACTGAGGTTCTTCCTCCTATGGCAGGGATTGCTCCGCCTGCTCATCATTTCCCCCATCTACACTTGCTTCATCTTCTTCAATTGTTGGCTCCTCTGTCTCATCTTCTGGTGCTTGCACCTCTTCTTCATCTGTAATTTTTCTTGAAGGAGTTTTTGCCGGTGTTAAATCTTCTACACCCTCTCCAGAGCTTCCTGTAGCTTTGTCCTCCTTCAAATCATTAATTTTCTCTTGTTCATAAAACACGACATCTCTACTTCTGACAGTTTTCTTCTTTTCTGGGTCCCATAGTCTGTAGCCAAACTCCTCATCACCATATCCAACAAAAATGCATGGAATATTTTTATCATCCAGCTTTGATCTCTGTTCCTTTGGCACGTGCATAAATGCTTTCCACCCGAACACTCTCAAGTGAGAGTATTCAACATCCTTTCCCGTCCAAGCTTTCTCTGGGATTTCAAAATTCAAAGAAACTGAAGGTGACTGGTTGATCAAATAAACTGCTGTGTTGACTGCTTCACCCCAGAATGGCTTAGGTAGAGTTGCCATTCTTAGCATGCATCGAACTTTCTCCACAATGGTACGGTTCATCCGTTCTGCAACACCGTTGTGTTGTGGCGTGCCAGGAATCGTCTTTTCATGCCTTATGCCATGCTTCAAACAGTAGTCTCTAAATTCTTTGGAGGTGTACTCCCCTCCATTATCTGTATGAAGACATTTCAACTTCAAACCTGTCTCCCTTTCCACCATAGCATGGTAATGCTGGAAATACTTGAAAACTTGGCTTTTATTCTGCAACAAGTATGCCCAAACCTTCCGAGTTGCATCATCAATAAAGGTAACAAAATATTTATTACCACCAAACGACTCCACCTCCAGGGGACCATAAACGTCAGAGTAGACCAAGTCTAGCTTGTTCTCCTTCCGAGTCAAATTCTTCTGAAAAGAAACTCGGTGTTGCTTTCCAAATAGGCAAACGTCACAAGGATTCACATGTCCACTTTTGGCAATGGGAACAAGGGACTGCTTAGCCAAAAGTTGCAATCCTTTCTCACTCATGTAAGGAAATCTTTTGTGCCATAAATTTGGAGAAGCCTCATCTTCAACTATGTTCAGTTGACCTCCACACATTTTCATTTGTGTCTTGTATAATGAGCAACATGCTCTCCCTTTTGACACCACCAATGATCCTTTAGTGAGTTTCCAACTACCATTCCTGAAGTAGTGTGCGTATCCTTCTTCATCCAGTGCTTTTGCAGACAATAGATTCATACGCATATCGCGAACATGTCGCACATTTTTCAGTGTTAATGTGCATCCAACATTTGTCTGGACACAGATATCACCAATTCCCATAATATGAGAAACACTCTTGTTTCCCACTTTTATGGTGCCAAAGTCTCCTGCTTTGTATGTTGAAAAATATTCCCTTTTTGGAACACAATGATAAGAGGCACCAGAATCAATTATCCACTAAGCATATGAGTTTTCTACATGGCAGCACTCCCCATGATCACATAGTAGAGTCACATCACCGCCATTGGTAGATACTATAACGGTTGTATTGCTATCTTCAACCTTTTTCTTGTCTTTTCCTTTCAACAAATAGCAATTCCTTTTCATGTGGCCTAGTTGACCACAATGATAGCATTTCACTCCACTTTTGGACTTTGATCTGGATTTGCCTCCTCGTCCTTTGGGTTCTCTGGTTTTACTCCTGCCTCTATTCTCCGTGACAAGAGCTTGAGTATCTGGTTGCGAGAAGACTCCCAATGCTTGCATCCTTTTTTCCTCTTCAAAGATCCTGTTTTTGGCAATTTCTAGTGTGACTTGACCACCGGGAGATGAGTTGATTGTTGTTGATCTAAAACTCTCCCATGATTCCGGCAAGGTGTTGAGAAGAATTAGACCATTCACTTCATCATCAAAGTCTATGCCCAAATTAGCTAACTCCTTGATGATGCCAAGGAAATCATTAACATGGTCTATTGTGGGAGTGCCATCTTTGTACCTTGAATACATCAATTTCTTTATATGGCACAATTTATTTTGCCCAGTCTTTGCCCGGAAAAGTTGGTCTAGCTTTGTCCATAGTGTGCGTGCATTAGTTTCATCATTGATATGATTCAACACACTATCATCAATCCATTGCCGGATAAATCCAGACACTCACCTATGGAGTAGCCTCCATTCTTCATCCTTCATGCTGTCTGGCTTTTGTTCTGAAAAGACAGGCTCATGAAATTCCTTCACATAAAGAAGGTCCTCCATTGTCCCTTTCCACAGCTGATAGTTTGAATTATTCAGCGTTATCATTTTGCTCTGATTCACCTCCATTGTTCACGTGAATATTAGCAGCGCTTGGCTCTGATACCAGTTGTTGGGAAAAAAAGATGCAACGGAATAAATTAATTCCTGTTATAAAAACACGTGAACAATAACAAAGAACGGTGAAACAGGTGACTTAGCTGACCAAGTAAAATAAAATGGGCGATTCAACCTACCACTTAAGAAATGAAATAAAATGGGCGGTTCAACCAGCCACTTAAGCAGGAAAATAAACAAACAAAATAACACCAAATTTTACATGGAAAAACCCCCAAAAACTATTGAGGGAAAATAACCACGGGACAAACTCCGAAGCTTATTCCACTATATGATAAAATTGTACAGAGTATATACTCAAGTATTTTTCTCTCTCTTGGTGTTTCCCACTCTCCCAGGATATAATCACAATCCTGATAAACTCACAATTTTATCACTCAATGTACTCCCTCTATGGAGCACTCTTTACACCTAAGCTTTTAATGCCTAGCTCTCACCCCCCCTTTTTCTTTTCACACGGAGCTCTCAATTTGCTCACTTTGGTGCTGCACTCTTTGCTTCTTTTTTGCTTGCTTTTTGCCTTGCCATTGCATGGGTATTTATAGGGTAAAAACCCAACTACTCGGTGCAATATTTCTTCACCTCATTAAATGAGGTTTCTACAATGGTTGAAATTACCATTGCAAATTTTCCACAATGGCTGCTGTAGCTTACAGCCTCTTGCAATAGGCGGTAGAAAAATGGGCTGGAATTAGAAGCTTCCGCTAACACTCCTCTCCTCCCCTCATCATCAATGTATGTATGTATTGTGCTCTGCATGATGGTGAGAGCAGCTTACTTTTCATTTATATATGCTTCTAATGAAAAGGATCAATCGGTTCTTACCTGTAATCCCAGTTGATCAAGGAGCTCAATGACTCGCTTTTCTTCTCCTCCATGGAAATGGAAGGAGGAAGCCTAACTTCTGCTGCGAACATGAAGGTTTCAAATACAGTCAGCATGGGGAGTAGTTGGTCATCTTGCATTACATATGATGAAATCATCTTCATGTAGCTTGTGGTGACCCGCAGAATCAGATTTCTTTGGTATAATCCTCTTCCATCGAAAACGAGGAGAAACAGATGACAATTAAACTATACTGATCGATTTTCCATCTATTTTGACAGATCCTTCAAGATTGCCTTGAGCAATCCGACCAGCCAATGCATCAAGAAAGGTAGATTTCCCAGCACTACTAGGCCCCATGATGGCCATAATTTGCCTCATACCCTGCCCTGATATATCATTGAGAAGGTAGGCTTCTTTCTTGATCCACACACCATCTTTCTTTTGCTTCTTCATGACACTGTATGATAGGTTGCTGAACTCAAGGCCATGCCCCCCGCATCATCTTCCTAGACACATGGGGCATAACATTTTTCACTCCTGTCGATTTGTCCAATTCTGGAAGTAGGGGTGGGCATCGGTACAGTACCGGACCGAACTGGACCGGTTCATTATTGTACCAATTTTATTCGGTATTCAAAGGGGATACCGAGTACTGAACTAAAAAAATTAATCCAGTATAAGATTCGGGAATCGGTACTCGGTACTTTTAAAGTAAAAACCGAGTATCGACCGATTGGTACCCATTAATTTTGAATTCAACCACAACATGCACTAGTTTTCAATATTATTAACTTTTGCAGCTGCACCAA